TGTCTTATTCCGTGGTAGAGAAATTTCCTTCCAGTTTACTTGATGTGCGAGAAGCGAACGCGTCTGAAAAACCTTTTCCAATTTCATCTTGTGAGAGAGATGCCTACACGGCGTAGAAAAATCGGTAATTTTTTTTTCGGAGTTTCTACAGCGTTTTTGAAGTATGTTTTTTGGAATCTAGTTAACGCTTGAGTATTCTGCATAATTATCGATTTCTTATATCTGCAAGAATACTAAACATTAAATACTACTACGCAGAATCAGTATACAGTATTTTGAAGTCTAGCAATGGTATGCCTGGGTTTGGATTAAATTTTATTAATTAAATAATCTCGAGATGATTGCACCCAGCCATCTATTAAATTGAAAGGTGGATGTTTTTGAATTTCAATAGCCTCACGAATCATTCTTGGTTGGAATCGGTGCTATTTTGCGTGGATTTTGGTTTATCAAAATTAAATAAATTTCACTTTGACACGTTCAGGTTAACTATGATATCAAGACGTCAAATATCCCAGTCCCCCCTCCCCTCCTTCCGAGACCATAGGTACTGTAAGGCATCGAAACTTCGGGATTCGGGTCTTAAAATAAATTAAATAAGTCAAATTAAGTCCATAAAAATTTAGCTTTATTCAATATGCTTTATGTTTTTGAATTGGCGATAAGAGCCTGCTACAAAGTCTAGAAATATGATGTGATATATTTGGAGACTTGAAAATTTAACGCCTTTAAGCTTCTCTGAATCACGCCTTACAATATATAATACTTTCAGGTTACATTCAAGATGTTTGTTAAAATTTTGACGGCTTCGTGGCGCAGTGGCTTAGCAATGAGTTATTGCGCTGGGGGCCGCGGGTTCGAATCCCGCACGGAACAAGTATTTGTATGGCCCACAAGTAATTGTTCCGGGTCTGGATGTTTGTCTTCGTGCAATCTATGTTTGTAAACTACCTCCACGATACAGGAGAAAATCCTAGTGTGGGGATATCGTTTTTTTTTAAACAAAATAAAAAATAAAATAAACAAAAAAACTAGCGCGAGTTTAAATATTAGATAGATAGATAGAAAATTCTTTATTGCACTCAACCAAAAAATTGGTACAAAAACGAAATTAATGGCGCAAAGGCATTCTCTGCCTTTGGAATTGTGGCGGGAGCCATAGCTACTCATAGGTAGAGCCGCAAAACATATAATTTAATATAATATTACTTATGTTTATTATAATATGCTGGTGATTTCTTATATTTACTCGAAAACTACCTATTTAAATAAAACTAACTTTTACGAACTACTTATTTTAGTTAATATACGCGATATAACCTGCCGCCAATTGTGACTACTAAGAAAATCCTTTATAAAATGGAAGAAGAAAAAAATTATAACACGTTTTTCGTATAGCTAAAGATTGACGATGGATGCTGTAGCTGAGACATCTACATATATCCTCGATAAAGAATCAAAATGCGGATGCGTTGCCACCCCTAAAAACCAAGATAGAATGCCACTTTACCAGTATGAAAGGATCTCCGGTTATCTACACTCACCATACGCAACACTATGAGAACGTTCTCATTTCCCGATCTAGCCAACTCTATAATATAGCTGCAGCATGGATCTATCAAGTAACAGTAATTCATTCAGTTTCTGATGGTAGAATATGTTTTTGTGGACTTCAAAAAGTAGGCGGTTCTCAATTCGACTGTATGTTTACCCCACTAACTGCCCCAGAAGGATGGTAATGTTTTGCGAGTGTACGTGTATGCAAATCTATTTTATTTGGCACAACCTATAGCCTAAACGGCTTAATGGGTTTTAACATATTAGGTATCGTTAGATCCATATTAGTTATTGGAGTAATAAAATTAAATGTGGAACTTGTAAATAAAAAGAGAGGAGGAATTATTTGTTTTGATAACATTATAACATTATTGGCCGTATTTACATTATAACCATATTATTTTATTCTAATGAAAAAAAAAGTAAATAGCCAATTCCAAATATATCAATCTTAGCTGAAAAGTTTGCACAGTAGGACTACGATGGCTAACCGAGTACACGACTACAGTATGAAACAATTCCAACTCCAGAGAAGAGTGTAAGACAGAGTTAACGTTATATTCCCAAACCACTTCACCGCTGCACTGAAAGACGTTTTCAATCTATTCGACTGGTAATTGTTGCGAAAACTATTTCAGAAGTTGTTAACGAGTATGTTCTAGGACAAAATGTTCCACCTAGGTAAGTACAACTTCGACCAAAATGTCAATCGACGGATCCAACTCGAATGGCGAGCATTCGGGAGGTTATGACACATTCACACATCTTGCTGCGTATTCTGGAAAATAGAAGTGGCAGAGCCATTCTGCAGCTCTTTATTACATTTGTGTCACGAATAGGTTGGCTCAACCGGAGAAGGACCACGCTCTCACAGAATACCAGCGTAAAATCGATGTACCATTCCTCATTTTCAACAATAGTTTAAGAAAAATAATCCAATTAAATTGAAGAAAAAAATGAGTTGATGTACTATTTCTTATTTTCAACAAGAAAAAAATAAAATAAGGCCATTCTGTACCATTCTTGTAAACCTGTCTCTAACATTGTTAACAAAAGCGCTTAGAATAAACTAAATTCTTAAAAATAGTCCCAACTGCGTGAAATAATTAACTAAAAATAGAGAAACTAGCTATATCATCTGTATTTTGATTTTGTTTGAGCCATCTAGAATGCACCAAACTGTTTGTACGTATACTGCGGCATAGCCCTAAGTTCAATTCACATCGTCTTAATCGTTGATCGTCCACCACGTGCGTTTTAATAGAAATTTACTAATAAACACTACTAAATGGTGAAATACTCTAATAATATAGTCATCAGCAGGTTTTGTGGGCCGATGCGACTTCGAGTCCTTCAATAAAAATAAGCTACTCCTTTAAAAAAAAACCTGCAATTACTCTAGTATTACGGATGTTCGTGGGCGGCAGTAGTCACTTACCATTTGGTTCAGCTGCATGCTTACAAGAGACGAACTAGCTTTGGTTCTGCTTCTTTTTACGCTGATGTTAATATTATGGTCGTATAATGGGGAAATGGTATTGAGGTGATTTAGGTTGTTACTAAACTATCAATTGCTGCTTATTTGATAGTTTTCCGTTGTTTCATTACTAGTAGTAAGTCTCACTCCCCTAGGATAATAAAAATGCAAGGAGATGCAAAGCTAGTTAGTCAAGTGACTTATCCACTTGGCCGGAGACAATCTTTGATCTAAACAAACAAGTGGAACCGCCAACAAACCTGCGCGCCAAAACACTACAAAAAATTATTTATTTTATTTAATTAACCCTTGAATACCCACAGACTTACATTATTTTCAAATCATAAAGGTATATTAGTATTGTAACTTATTTAATGTATACTTAATGCACACATAAGACCTCAAAATCGATCAATTTTACATTTCTTGATTTACCAGTCCCTAAAACTGCTTCTAGTTGAGACGTACCTAACAATAGAGAGAAGTATTGCCAACAAATTCATAACGCTAAATAAACTATTATTCTTCGTATGACATATAATTTACTACACGTTAGTGCGAAGTCATACGTCTAATCGCCACAGATTATTAATTTTTGATTGATTATTTTTCTTTTTCAGATTAATGACGCCACATCACTCCCTCCCAGAGACCATCTATGATGGGCGATAGTAATCAGGTAATTTAACTCTGCGTCCTGAGCGTGTACAACTTTTCTCATACTCTTCTTTTTTGTTTGCAGGTGGTGTTCGACATGCTGAAGCATCAGAGGGTATATAGGCAGGTTTTATTATATCTATTGAGACCGTTTGTTCTTTGCCTTTCATGAGTAATTTGTAAATATTGTCTCCTCTTTCCAGCACTTTGAAGGGACCGGAGTACGCTGGTTGCAGTGAACCTTTTACAGAGTCATCCCTGACATAAACGTGAGTCGCATTTGGTAAGTCTTTAAAGATAAATACTTTTTTACTACCGTGACATGTTCCAGGTGATGGACGAATATTGTTCATTATCAGCCTTAAGCGTGATAAGAGATCCGTTATGTCTGTGCTACTTTCGCTGTTGTTAGAATGCAGAAATTCTCCTGGTAACCTAAGTGATTCACCATAAAGTAACTCAGCGTGTGATGCTTGAAGGTCTTGTTTCAATGCATTTCTCATACCCAGTAATACTAATGGCAATGATTCTGTCCATCGTTGATTATTGTGACATACAATAGTGGCTTTCAGATGTCTGTGCATCCTTTCTACCATACCGTTGCACGCTGGGTGGTAAGATGTAGTTCGCTTATGCTGAAATCCGATTAGATTGGATAGATGTTTAAACAAGGAACATTCGAATTGTCTTCCTCGATCTGTGATGATTTCAGCAGGACACCCAAAACGCGAGATCCAGCCATTAAGAACTGCTTTTGCAACAGTTTCAGCAGTGATATCTGATAAGGGTATTGCTTTAGGCCATCTGGTAAATTTATCAACTGCTGTAAGACAATAGCGATATCCATCTGATACAGGTAAAGGTCCAATGATGTCTATATGGACGTATTGGAATCTGGCAGGTGGTAATTTGTATGTGCCTAAAGGTGCGGAGACATGACGTGTTGCTTTTGCACGCTGGCAGAGGTGACACGTTTTCGACCATTCACGACAGTCTCTCTTTACTCCTGGCCAAACGTAGCGTTCTGTTATCATGTTTGTTGTAGCTTTGACCCCAGGATGGCTCAGCGAATGTAAACTGTTAAAGACTTGCTTCCTTAAGTTTTGAGGTACGTAAGGCCTTTGATTTCCAGTTCCATCATCACAATATAGGTCTGTCTTCGTGCCAAGTATTGGTACCTTAACTAATCGAAGTGATTTCCCACCTTTCAGAATTTCTTTCAGTTCCGTATCCACGTCCTGCATTTTGGCTAAGGTAACTAGATTAACACGCTGAGCTAATTCTTCCACTCTTGAAAGCGTATCAGCCACTATGTTATTTTTTCAGAGATGTGTTGGATGTCGGTGGTGAACTGTGATATAAAATCGAGATGACGATACTGGCGGGGTGAGCACTTATCTTTTCTAATGTGAAATGCATAACAGATTGGTTTGTGATCAGTAAAAACAGTAAAATGTCTTGCTTCAAGCATGTGTCTAAAGTATTTCACTGACTCGTATATAGCAAGAAGCTCCCCGTTGTATGGCGAGTATTTCTGTTGGGCTGGTTTCAGTTTCTTAGAGAAGAATGCAAGTGGCTGCCATGATCCATTCTTTACTTGCTGCAAGGCGGCACCGATTGCCTTATCTGAGGCGTCGGTTACCAAACCTAATCTTGCGTTTAGATCTGGATGTGCCAAGAATGCTGCTTGGCAGAGGTTAGTTTTGCACTGCTCAAAAGCATGTAGGGCTTCTCCCGATATATCCACGGAACGTGATCCTTTTACGGACCCCGTCAGCAAAGAGTTTAATGGTGCCTGAATTTCAGCAGCTCCTTTGATAAATCGGCGATAAAAGTTTAGCATCCCTAGAAAACGCCGAAGTTCTCGTACGGTTTTCGGAGTGGGGAAGTCTTTGATGGCTTAAACCTTACTATCTAAAGGCTTAACACCGTTGGCTGAGACGTAATACCCTAAAAAGGTGATTTCTTTCTTACCAAATTCACATTTGCTCGTGTTGATAACCATACCGAATTCCTTAAGTTTTTCAAAGATTTGGCGAAGATAATCAAGATGGCTGTCTTCGTCCTGGGAAAATATTAGAAAATCATCCAGGTACACGAAGCAAAAATCAAGTCCTCGTGTTATCTCGTCTACAAACATTTGAAAGGTTTGGTTCGCATTTTTTAAGCCATAATTCATGTATGGAAATTCGAACATACCAAATGTAGTGGTGATGGCTGTCTTCGGAATATCATCTGGGTTGACTGGTATTTGGTTGTACGCTTTCACCAAGTCTAGCGTAGAAAAAATTGTACAACCCGATATGTAATGGGTGAAGTCTTGTAAGTACCTGATGGGATATTTATCTGGAATTGTCTGTGCGTTTAACATTCTGTAATCGCCACATGGCCGCCATCCGTTATCTTTCTTTGGTACAAGATGGAGCGGAGAAGACCACGGGCTCTCAGATGGACGTGCTATTCCACTCTTTATCATTGCCTCGAATTCTTGCTTCGCTATTTTCAGTTTTCTGGTGATAATCTTCTCGGATTGCAAGACACAGGTGGTCCTAGCTTAGTACGAATAAAGTGGACGGTACTGTGCTTAGGAGCTTGCGGTACACCTGACGGTCGGGTAATCTCTGGAAAGTCACGTAGTAATTCAACATACTTTGAATTACCTCTCATGTTTTAACAGAAGCTATCACATTAGCTGTAGCAGGCGTTTGCAACGAATTACTATTATCTATTAACCGCCGGTTACGACAGTCGACAACGATATGGTAGAATGATAAAAAGTCAATTCCGATGATTGCTTTGTTTACATCGGCTACTACAAAGCGCCATGAAAAATCTCGTCGAAGTCCCAGATTTAGTTCGAGATGAGCATAGCCGTAGGTGGGTATGGGAGTTCCATTTGCTGCAAAAAGATCGTAAGATGTTCGAGGTCGTCGTTGTTTAAGTGCCGTGCGTGGGAAGACACAAAGGTCGCTTCCAGTGTTGACCAAGAATTGCATCTTCGTTCTGCGATCCGTGACAAACAGGCGACCGGATGAACTGAGGCAATCATTTGTCGCCACTAACGACTACCCTGATCGTTTCCCTGTTGGTAATCACAAGGCTTAACGTACTTATTAGCCTTATCGCCGAATTTATAATGATAGTAGCAAAATGGAAACCTTCTATAATTTGACTGAGACCGATTACGAGTATGACTGTGACTATGGTTGCGGTCTCGTTTGTTGTCTCTATTTTGGGACCGTGATTTCCTTTCATTTCGGAAGGATAATGCTTGCACTTGACGAGTAAGTTCCGCGATCTGTTTCGACATTGTGTCAAGTAAAGATCCTGGTGCTGCATCCATTGAAGCTACGTGTGGAGATGCCGGAACAAGTTCGTGCACCTTATCGGCTAAGGCAGCCAGTGCTTTCAGGCTGTGATGCAATTACGGTATGCAAATTGTTTGGGAGGCGACTAGTCCATATTGTCCTGATAAAGTCATCTGGGACGTTAGGGCCCGCTAAATGTTGCAAATGTCGTAAAAATTGTGACGGACGCCTATCTCCAAGTTCCTCATGCATTAACAATTGCTTCACTTCTTTTTCTCGAGATGCTGAGAGCCTCTTGATAAGTTCTGTTTTAAGTTTCTCGTATTTATCTTTTTGAGGTGGTGAAACTATAATGTCTTGGACTTCTGCCGCATATCTATGGTCTAATTGTGCAATTACATAATAATATTTTGTTTCGATTTCTTTAATACCGGATAGTGCAAAATTCCCTTCTACTTGTGCGAACCACACAGCAGGCTGCGGATATCCTTGTAGGCAAGGCACTACAAGGATATCCGCAGTAGAACCAGAGTAACCGACATAGCCCAACGGATTAGTAAGCTGAAGTGGCAGTGGGCCGGCCATATAGCTCAAAGAACGGACAACCGATGGGGAAGAAAGGTTCTCGAGTGGCAGCCTCGTACCGGCAGGTGAAGTGTTGGGCGTCCCCCCACTAGATGGAGTGACGACCTGGTAAGATATCCAGGAAGTCGATGGATGCAGGTGGCTCAGGACCGTGCTTTGTAGCATTCCTTGGGGGAGGCCTATGTACAGCAGTGGACTTGTGAAGGGCTGTAATGATGATGATGATGATGAATTACAACTTAAAACAAAGCTAATAGTAAAACACAATCTTACTACTGATCACTTTAGTTCGCAGTTATATCGCTTCGAAGTATTCGCTGTATCGCCAATTCAATACTGCCCCGGTCTATACCGGCCTTATATAGGGTCTCAGGTAGTTTCCAGAACCTTCTACTATAGAAACTTCTGGAATGTTCGATAGTTCCAGAACGTTCTTCCATGGAAATTTCTAGAAGGACTCTCCTAGTTCTGCTACTCGATACTAGAGGGCACTAGTGGTAACTAGTGTTGCCATGTACCTTCCATTAATTGTAGCGCGCAACAATAGCCTTCTCTGTTTGAAACTGACCGCAGATATTTATGGAAGCCAGCAGTTACTTACCGTTAGGTAGGCTGTAAGTTCGTACGTCACTTTAGTTTTATGTAAAAAATAAAAAGATAGAAGTATGTGAAAAACACCCTTAATAACCAAGACGCGACGTTATTCGTAGATAGTTATATTACAATAATTAGTCAACCACTACTATCTTGATTATAGGATTAACTCATGTATTCCTTTATTGGTTCATTACAGTCAACTGCTGGACTCATTGTTGGAAGGATCGCAATTTCAGACGTCTTGAACCTTCTACAATGTTCACCGTTCTCGTTCGTATCGGAGGGTATACGATATTTTCGGCATATTATACTATACTCGCCTCTTACGGTATCTACGAAACTAAATTTGATGATAGACTATTTACATCGTTACCATACGACACCTCTATCACACGACTACTTTCACTTCTGCTAATACAGTTTGACTTAGGTTTTATATTTATAAATATGTTAAGGAATTGTTTGTCAAGAATTACTCAAAGTAAAGGAAATTCTTATCGCAAGAAATAACTGTACAATGTTCACGTTTCATATTAAATTAAAAGTCGTCCCTCGCCTGCGAGACAAAATTACTGCAGTAAATCAGTCTCAAGAATCAAAATGAAATAGATTTGTTATTTTAAAACGTTTTCACAATAATATGAATTGTGCTGTTTCACCATCATTTTATATGTAATTTTAGTTTTTCTTTAAAAAAACTTTTTTTTCTTTTTTTTTAAATATACAAATTATTATACTACTTTAAATTATTACATTATTGAATTTCAGTACAACTATACTTCAGAGTGTCGGAGTGAAAAATGGGGTATATGTATTATGACAAAGCGATGGACTTAATCACGCTTTGTATTGCAATACTTAAGCATAATATTCCCTCACGAATTTATTTTTAAAAAAGCCCCAAAATTTATGACCAGTTACATTAACACTAACAACGAAAATTTACGGTCTTCTAGATACGATTTTATTCAGAACTAAGAAATTAATTTCGCATGGAACAAGGCATACATCTGTGTGGCCTATAAATAATTGTTAAGCGTCTGGTTGTGGTGTGTCTTTGTAAAATTATGTGCATTATATCATTGACATAGAGATAGACTCTTTGCATCAGCAATACAACGATCTTATCAGAAAACCTTTCGAGACTTTACTTAATTATAGTTTTTACAAGACGCCGCCGTGTACCTAAATTATCCTAGGATCCACATAAAAACACACAAAACAGCTGTGGTAGAGCCGCGCGGCAGCTTTTGCTGTCGCATGGATAGGCTGGCTCGAACCTGGGTGGTACCACGACAGCGTGAAGTAGAGCGTACTCTGCGTATCTCTTGGTAAGTGTAGGTGGCCGGAGGTCTAATCCCCCCCCCCCCTTAACATGGTAGTGGAACCTCCTTGAGCATCCATGAACAAGCTATCCTATTCTTCCTGAGCGTGGGTGCTTAGGCTGCCTTACGTATTCTGGGGAGGGGGGGGGGGGGGGGAAGAGGACAAAATTCCGCTCGCCACTAAAATTGCTCGGGGCAAGCAGCAATAGGACCAAACCGACCCCTGAATTTTTGCGGTATCAAGGGACTTCGTTCCAACCTTAACGCTCTCCACTTCCATCTGGAGACGGCGAAGCCGGCATTGCTCTTTTTAACAGAGACGTGCTCTCTGGCTGATACTTCATATCTTTCCTACCCGGGGTACAAATAAGAACATTCCTATGTGCCCCGGGCTGGAGTTTGCGTATACGTAAGAGAGAACATCTGTTTTCGACGCCTTGCCAATTTTGTAGGTACAGTGTAAGGTATGGCTGCGCGAAGACAGTGACGACCATTCCCGAGTCTACTGGTTTTTATATAGGTCCATAACGGCAATGCTGAAACAAAGCGACTCATCGACCACGTCCAAATGGCAACAGATTCCTTGTTACAGCAGATAGCATCCGCAGAGATCGTGATTCTTGGCGATTTTAACGCCCACCATGCCGAATGGCTCTTTTCACGTTCAAACGATCATGCGGGGAGATCTGTTTATGACTTTGCCTTGGCATATGGTCTTACACAGCTACTAACTTTGTCTACGTGGATTCCTGATGTGGCGGATCATGCATCTTCCCTGTTGGACCTTCTGCTGACCTCTCATTCGGACGGATACCAGGTTTCCGTCGATGCTCCTTTAGACTCGTCGGACCATTGTCTTGTCCGAAGTGTAGTGCTACTCATACTAACGTCACGGTTGCATTCTGCAGCTGCCGTGATTGGCACTATAAGTCGCCCAATTGGGATAGTATCGGTCTTTTTCGCATCCTACCCTTGGGGGCGGGTTTGCTTCTCGCCGGAGGATCCCAGCGTTGTTGCTGATACTGTTG